TGGAATCTCAGCCAGGCCGCCCGCTGCATCCGCTTTGCCTCGCACTTGGCGGCGGTGAATGGGGTGGCTTGGTCGCCCAAGGGCAACCTGGTGGCCTCCGCCGGACACGATCGCACGGTGAAGATCTGGGAGCCCAAGTTGCGCGGCGTTTCAGGGGAGTTTGTGGCCCACAGCAAGGCGGTGCGCAGTGTGGACTTCGATTCCACTGGTCACCTGATGCTCACCGCCTCGGACGACAAGTCGGTCAAGATGTGGCGCGTGGCCAGGAGGCAGTTTGTGACCTCTTTTGCCCAGCAGAACAACTGGGTGCGCAGCGCCAAGTTCAGTCCCAATGGCAAACTGGTGGCCACCGCCAGCGATGACAAATCGGTGCGCATCTACGATGTGGACAGTGGCGAGTGTGTGCGCACCTTCGCCGAGGAACGAGCGGCTCCCAGGCAACTGGCCTGGCATCCTTGGGGCAACATGTTGGCCGTGGCGCTCGGCTGCAACCGGATCAAGATCTTTGACGTGGCCGGCAGTCAGCTGCTGCAGCTGTACGTGGTGCACTCGGCGCCGGTCAATGATGTGGCCTTCCACCCCAGTGGACACTTTCTGCTCTCCGGCAGCGATGACCGCACCATCCGCATCCTGGACCTGTTGGAGGGCAGACCCATCTATACATTAACCGGCCACACGGACGCGGTGAACGCGGTGGCCTTTAGTCGGGATGGAGATAAGTTTGCCACCGGCGGTAGTGATCGGCAGGTGAGATTGGGTAGCTTACTGAATATGGAGTTACTCCTTAATGTCCTCTTCGCCTTGCAGCTCCTGGTCTGGCAGTCGAATCTGCACACCTACGACGCCTCCCAGTTCGAGGCCAAATCGGCCCTGGCCTCTTCCGGTTGCGACACCAGTGCCGTCTCCTCGAAACAGAGCCTAGCCAGTGGCACCTCCAAGTCCAACGACCTAAGTATCCGCATAGATCCGCGCCAATCGCAGGCCTACCAGCTGTCGGAGGAGAACTTCCAGGTGCTCGACAGTAAACACTCGAATCAGCCGCAGAACGCTCAGGAAAACATCCTGGGCCGTGGCATGGACTCCAAACCGCAAAGCCCGCGCTTCTTCTAACCCACACGTTCAGTAGCCCTTGACGCACATAACTAGCCGAACTTTCCGCAGGTGCTGGACGTGTCCTTCGAATCTGGCTCGGAGTCGTGTTCCTGTTCTGCGCAGCTGGAGGAGATCACAAAGCTGTTGGCCTTGATCGATGAGCGTGTGCGGCGATTAGAGGGGATATACTCTTTGTAGCTATATAAGCGCCTTAGTATAGTTTAACCTAATATAATTAATGAAGCTAATATAATTTGTTGTGCATTACGATGACCATAATTTAAAGTTAATAAGATTTGAGATAATCGCTATCCAAAGCCTTGTTTAAAGATATGATACCTATTTGGTATAGGCGATAGACTTTAAATCATTTATTGACATGCTCTAAAATCGATATTGAGTTGTTTTGGAATTTTTTTCTGCGATTTTAAAAGTATGTTTTCCACGCATGCTCTTGGTCATGCTTGGGAGGTTTATTTGAATTTTTTATATTATTATTGATAATAGACTTTTTGAATGTGATATTAGATGTGGTTAATAATGTGGCAACACATGAAATTTTGGTGTACTCAAACCTTTTCTTAAAAAAGTTATCTTTACTTAGTTATACAACAGAAATCAAGCCGATTTGTCTTCTGCAAGCCCACGACTTTGGGCTAATTTAACTTTTATTGAAGTTTTTTAAACGTCCTATAACATTCACACATTTTTATTTTATTCTGACACGTTATACTTTTCCACTATGAATATTAACGAGTAACAAATTATATTTTAAAGGCCGCACGAATTTTTCCAATAAAAGCGGAAAATAGCTTCATCGACTATAAGAACGATGGGCATGTCGCGGCCTAATTCGGTCATTTAGCCACCTGCTGTCAAGGTATATAAAAAAGGGAAAATGCCTCATTTCAACACAATCCAAACCAATCCAATCCCACAATGAACGCAGCGGTGTTTCTACTATTGGTCCTCGCTTGCATGGCAGGAATGGTCCTCTCCCTTAATCGGAGTGATCCCGCATTTATAAAGGGCGAACAAGATCGTAAGTTTCCAAAATGGGACTACACAGTGTTTTTCTAATGCAAGATTTTTCAGGCGCGAAATGGGACCGACTTAATTTAGGCCCTGCTTGGGGCGGAAGGGGTTAGCGACCCTTAGTCCATTATTTTAAAAAAATAAATTTGTGTGCAATTACAAAGCTGTGTGTTTTTTATATTTCTTATCAACATTTGAAGCCGTTTTCTCAACTGCCGGTTAACATTGGTCCCTGTTCAGGAGCGTCAATCTTTGAGCTCGGTCGAACAGGGGGCTCGATCTTTCTGTTAATTATTTTTCGTATTGTCTCCAAATTTATTTTCCTGATCTGCATGAACTCCAAAACTTAGCACACTATAAAAGCTACTAAGTTGGGATTGCTGATTCTAGAGATTCCTGCGCAGCTCCTACATTTTTTTAAGATTTGGTTTCAGCGTAAACTTAAATAGATTTTATTGATCAATCAATATCTGCAGTACATACATTTAAGTAGTTGTACAAAACATTTTTTAAAAAGTTATGAGTACTGATCGATGACTTTTTAAAATTAATTAATGTGTTGTGGGCATGTCCAAAGCGTTCAATGATGAATAATTTCCTAAATGTAACAATTGTCATCGTCATTTTTTTTAACAAAATAAAAATGTTCAGAATACTAGGAATATTCATCAACACTTTACATCAGGCCATCATCGATCTTTTATAAACTTTATTATAGATGCCCTGCAGTTCCACAATTGAGTTAAGCGCCCAATCATCACGAAGCCGACTGCGACGTCGGCAGAGAAGCCAGCGACGCCGGCAGAGCTGAGCGCAAAGCGACGCGCTCTCAGTCGGGTCCGCAAAGAGAACGCACAAAAAGTAATTTTGGGCTCTCCCTCTCTCGCCATGTCTCAGACGGAAAAGTGCGTGTGATGGGAAGGAGGCCCAGCAACTAAAATATATAGACTTTTGTGCACCCTTGCCTTTTGAATAATGCGACATTTGTTCGTAAATGATAAAACAACCATTTAAAATAAAAGGTTTCTGTTTTAAAATATTTGTATTTCTTAAACAAATTTATAGGTTCATTAATATTATTTAATAATATGTGAAGTCTTAAGAATATATTTTTATAAACCGATTTGCATAGCGGATATGTCTATAAATACCCTGCTTTTATGTGCAAGATGCATAGACCAAACGGGACATGCCAAAAAAACAGAGCAACAACGGATTAGCGGAACCGTTGTTGTTGTTGCTTGTTGTTTTTCTGGAAGGCACGCGACTTTTTTCGTCTTTTTCACTTGGGTTTACTTATGTGAAGGAGTTAGAATTGCACGCAATTAAGGTAGTTAAATAAAATAAACCAGTGGTTTAAAAGTAATACCTATACGATTCCCAGGTAAGTCTGTCGCAGACCAATATTTATTTAATCAGTGAGAGTAAAAACAAGTTAATGTATATTAAAAAAATGGAAAATACAAGATTCCCAAAAAAACACGTGGCGGAAAAAAAATAGCTGTGAAAAATATTAATTTTGGACGTGAAAAACAACAAATGATGCATATAAATAAACAAATGAATGAATCTGTGAAAAAATTTGAAAATCTTATTTAGTGCTAAGTTCCTTGGGACCAAAAATAAGAGATGTTTGTTTTTATAACTTATGATTTTTTGTATTAATAACATTAAAGCACAATTTTTATTTTTGTGTAAGTAAACAAACATGGCTATTTAAATAAAAATCTCAAACATCTCTAATTTTCCGTTCCTGGAAAAGTGGTATTTTTTCCGCATCTGAAAATAAATAAATTTAATAAATAATAAAAAAAATACATAAATAATTTTTTACAACAACATAAAATAAATCAAGTGACCGAAAACAAAAGTTTGCTAATTTCTTCTCGATATTTTTTGCATTTTCTTATATTTTTAGACAAGGCTGAAGGTAAATCTATAAAAAAATGGAAGGCTAAATCGTTCCATCTTAAGCATATTATCCGAGGAACTTGTTCTGTCCCACAACTTACTTATTAAGTAAGTTTTTATTGAGGCTGAAAGTAACTATTATTTGTAAGTTTACTTTTTAAAAGACTTCTGGGATTTTTACATTGAATTGAAGATAACATTTCTTTTACTATAAATAAATCTTACAAATAACGATTACTTTCGGTCACTCGTTTTTATTCTCGTCTTGTTTTATTTTTAAAACTAATTTTTTTCTAATACTAGATGCAATCGCCCTGGCGGATCCCTCGGAGCCTCCCGAAAAGGCGCTGGAGAAGGCAATGCGGTGCGTTAAAAACTTGAGTTGTACCAAAAAAAAGGCAACGCCGGCACCAGATGCTGAGAAGGAGGTGCCAGCGACCCCGATAACACCGGAAACCCCCGAGCTCAAATTTTAAAATAAACAAATAAAAATAAAAATTACAACTGTTTTTTTGCTGCTAAGCGCTCAACGTGCGCTGAAAGTGCGCTTTTTCGCTGCTTGAATGAGCGCTCAACGTGTGCTGAATGTGTGCTTTTACCGCTGCTCAATCGAGCGCTCAACATGTGCTGAACGTGTGCTTTTTCAGCTGCTCAATCGAGCGCTCAACATGTGCTGAATGTGTGCTTTTTCTGCTGCTCAAAAAAGCGCTCAAGAGGGTGCTCAAAAAAGCGCTCAATGCGTGCTATTTTTTGAGCACTGATGAACCCTAGGACATGCCTATGTTAATTTCAGCACATAGCTCCATACAAATTGTGCGCTCATTGAGCGCTGAGTGATGAGCTTTTTGCAGTGATTGAGTGCTCAATAAGCGCTGAATGGTACTGCAGGGTGGTATAGATGGTTTGGAACAATGGTGGTGAATTTCTAGCCAGGTTCGCCACCCATTGAAAATACTCACCATTGGTGTTTTTGAGCTCTCGTGCAAAGGGTCTCACTGTTCAAAAAATAAACAAATTCCGGCGGAGAAAGTGACGATAAACAAAAGCGACTGTTCGAGACGTCAAGATGCGCGACTGGATGCCTGTGCTCTTCTGCGGACTGTCCGTGCCGCTCTCGCTGTTCATGTGGCTGGGGAACGTGGCGGTGTCGAGGATCTGGACGAGCGACTTCGAAGGTGAGCGGTCGAGTCCGGGTTTCGGATCTCCAAGCGAGCACACCGGGGTCAACTAATGCCATAAGGTTATCCAACAGAGTCCCGAGTGATTCCGCCGGTGCGCTGGCTCTTCTCCACACTGGCCCCCCTGGCCCTGATGACGGTGGCCCTGCGCAGGAGGAGCGTAAGCCGATCTGGGGCCGCACTGGGCATCCTGGTGGCCTTCATCCTGTCCATCGCCAGCCATCCGTTCTTTGCCAGCCTGGTGGTGTTCTTCTTCAGCTCCTCGCGCGCCACCAAGTTTCGGTCGCACATGAAACGCCGCTTCGAGAGCGATTTCCGCGAGGGCGAGGGCCAACGCAACTGGGTGCAGGTGCTCTGCAATGGCGGCATGGCCGCGCAGTTGGCGCTCCTCTACCTACTGGACTGCGGCAGTGGTGAGCGGGCGGTGGACTTCACTCGGGAGTACCGCTCCAGCTGGCTGGGCGTGGCCGTGATGAGTGCCTTTGCTTGCTGCAACGGTGACACCTGGTCCAGTGAACTGGGCTCTGTGCTGTCGCAACGCGATCCCGTGTCCATCATCACTTGGCGACGGGTGCCGCGTGGCACCAATGGCGGCGTTTCGCTGGCCGGGATCGGGGTGAGTCTGCTCGGCGGACTGCTCGTTGGATTTGGCTACTTTGTCACCGTACGCTACACGGTGGAGGCCAAAATGCTGCTGATCAGCCCACCACAATGGCCCATCGTCGCCTTTGGCGGCATTGCTGGACTTTTTGGCTCCCTGCTGGACTCCATTTTGGGCGGCCTGCTGCAGTTCTCGGGCATCAATGAGGAGGGTAAAATTGTGGAGGCACCCGGCAAGGGAGTGCGCCACGTGAGCGGACTGCGCATCCTGGACAACCACAGTGTCAACCTGATCTCCAGCATCGTAACGGGCGTCACCATTCCCATTTTGGCCCAGAGATTCTGGCCCGTGCGCTGATTTCCTGTTTTTATTTTTTATTAAAGTTAAGAGCATCGCGGCATTCACTCGACCAATTCTAGGGAAAAATTATTTGTTTATACATCTGAAGAAGTGTGCCTCACAAGATCAAATCTATTGTTAAACATAATCGTCATTTTATGAAGCCTTTGAGACGGCTATTTACAAATGTTCGCATACCCATTTATCACTTCTTCAGGTCCAGTGGATACCGTTCACATATATTTTTTGAAGCTTCCAGTCGCCAAGCGAATCAACCGACTTAATAGACAACGATTTGGCCAAATGCAACGGATGGCCAGGGCATAGTTTATATTTTACACTAAGGTAGCTAACCATGTTCCTGTATGGATTATGACTTTGTTGATACTGCTTAAAATCACCGCGACTGTCCACCTAGATTATATGTAAAAAAAACTTGATTAAACGCTAACCTCTTATTGTTATAAATTTGAAATTCTGGTGCGTGACTTTGGACATGTTTGGATATATACATATATATATGTTCTCAGAACGTCATCGCATTTGTTTTCTATATTTGTGAGAACAATGATTGGTTCCAGCTGGAATATTTTAGCAGACCAAACACGGTCTTGTTTGTGCAATGAGCAATTTTGATAATCAAAACAAATTAAATGTGGTTTATATGTATGAATGAAATGACGAAAGTCTATCATTTAAATACTTCGACGAATTCTTTTAATTCTGTTAATTAGTGGTATGGAAAAGTGTCGGCTAAATGTGGTGACGTTTAACCTTTAAGATTAAAATTTCTCAGTTATGTGTACTTCAATTTGTTTTCTTTTTAAGTATACCAATTTAATTGTGGCAATGTTTAGAAGTTTACCCCTATATAATTACTCAAAACCATAAAGGTATTTGTAAAATAAAATTTGTAAAAATCCGAATATATATTAGGGAGGATCTGTTGATGAAAATCGTAACAAGTTAATTTCCACTTCCCTGAAAACTCTCCTGAAGCATACTAACCTGCAAATATCCAACTACACTCAAATGGATAGACAAAACCAGAGATTGTGAACTAAAAGCCAAATGTAAAGTAAAATATAGTTATTAATTTGTAATTGTACAATTTATTTAATCTTTTTGAACTTTGTTCGATCTTTTCAGCTTCTGCAGTTCAAGATTTCGGATGAAGTTTTGGGAGAGTGCGCGCAAGACGGCATCGTTGGAGGAACTTGGGGATCTGGAGGAGCTGACAGATTCAACCGGAGCAGCTGGGTTGGCGAATCCGATGGAGAACTTAATCATTAGGTCGCCAATGGGCGAGTTAACGAACTGGGAGCCCGTCGAGATGGTCTTGAAGACAACGCGGCGCTTGTGCTGGTAGACCTGCGGATCACTGGCCAGACTGTTTCCCGGATGAGGATTTGCCTTCGAATGGGTACTGGAACCAATTATTGGCCTGTGACTGGTGGTGCTGGCATGTGGCGGTGGCTCTGTGGTGCTGGTTTGGTTCGAGGGTCTGGCTGTTATCCTGGGCTGTGCAGTGCTCCTGGTCCTGGTGGTTCGCGGCTGAGCTGTGGTGGATGTGCTGCGTCGCCTGTGCGGTCTGCGAGTAGTGATGCTTGGATGGCTTGGTGCTTGATAACTCGCCTCGTTCTGGTCCTCTTCCTCGGGAGAACCTGCCACGGCATCCGGTTTCTCTGGGTCCAAGGCATAGCCCTGATCCGTTTGGTCCTCCTCGTCCTCGTAGTCGTCCTGAAGATCACCATCTCGATCTTCGCCGGAGAAGTACGGCGGTTGTTGGGGTGGCTGCTGGTCGCGGCGCTTCTGATTCTCCCGCTGCTCGTAGACAGGATCGTTGGGAGCCGACGAGGCCAGCACTTGCTCCATCTGCTTTTGAAGGATCTCGTAGAGCGGGGCATTCTGCTCTTCGTCCAGCACCTCAGCCGGCTCGCTGGGGACAAACTTATTGTTGATGTAAGCATTTCGTCCGTCCAGGTCCTCGTCCACAACCAGCACTGTGTCCTTGCGAGCGCGAGACTCCGTTTGCAACTGATCGGGCGGTGGATGGGTCACATCTTCTGTTGCCTCCGCTGGAGCAGCTCTAACGGTGAGTAGCACTAAAAAAGGTTGTCTTAATAATTCAAGAGAAACCCCTCTAATATCTCACCTCCACTCAACAGGATAAGTAGCTCAATCTTCCAGGTCCGGGTTTCGATACTTCTGGCTCCCATTGCAGTTGGTCAACTTCTGTGATATGTGACACAAAGCCCCCTGCTTTTATAGGCACCTCAACTGCAACCTGCTGCATTGTCCATCCCACGCCCAATTAGTTTTTAGGTTTAGTGCCTGGCCCTTGATGATGGCCCTTTCAAACTTCTGATGTCAATCAGTTTATAGAACTCGTTTGGAGGGTCAATGCACTTGAAAGCAACTGCATCATCTCAAATGTCTTCCCAGTTTAATTATAAAGAAAGGAATTTGCCTCTACGATAGTTGTTAAAAGGTTCTGATTGGAAGAGAAATAGTGTTTTTGTTAATTTGGAGTAGTTCAAACATAAATATTCATTTTGATCTTCTCGAAGATTACGTATTTTAAGGTATCTTTTAAAGTCAAATATAAGGTTTTACCGAATCGGTAGGCAAAATAAAAATCACTTTAGAAAATAAAGTCCTCATATTCCATTCACGCAAAAATGTGAACAAGTTTGATAAAGTCCGAACATGTAAAATGTACCTATATATTTTTGATGATGATTACACAGGAACACAATATTTAACTGTGTGAAATTTCCAGAAACTTTTTCTACTTTTATTGGTAAAACAAATCCAATAAAATAGCAATATAAAATCGATTTAAAACGAAATTAAATCATAAAATGGACAATAGATTTCAAGTATATAACATTTTTTCCATTTAAGATAAATTTTTAAAGGCGGTTTTCCATCAACAAAATTATTAAAAATTTTGGCAATTTCACCTTTGACTTCCAAATCCGAAGACATGGTAATGGTTCAATATGGGGACTATTTTTTAGTAATGCCTTCTTGCATTGAGAGTGTATTTCAGTGAAAAGAATATAGAAAGTCCAATTGTATAGGCCACAGAACAAAAAATGTCGGCATACATCATTATTTTTTATTCTTAGCTATCCTTACCATGAAGGGGATGGCACAAAAGTTTGTATGGTAATTTTATTCAGGAGGACCCAATTATCATGATAAAGTAGAAATGGTTTGTGGAAATTGTTGGCTGTGTACCTGTGTTATCGGTCGATTTGTTCTTTTATAGCAAGATAATGGCAACATTTAAAATTCTAGTTTTATATGTAGGTTTATTGTAAAGTTTAGAAATCATGTGGATCAAATTCGCATGGTAAGGACATGTAAACCTCTTATTATCTATATCTACGGATAAACTTAAATTGAATTAGGGATGCATTAAGGTTCTAGCGGATAAACCCATCGCTAGATCAGCAAAACCTCGTGAGCTGTCATTAAACTAAGGCAATTTCAATCAATTTTAATGTAAATCAAAATGATTTTTAAATGTTTAAAATTGTTTATTTTAATAAATTAAATAAATACTTTTTATGAGATTTATATGGCCGTTACCAGCTTAAGCTACATGGTACTTTAGTCTATTATTGTCCTGGCTTCTGGGTTGGGTCTGCTCTTTCAGGGGTGCGATCTCCAGTGGCTTGGGTGTGGGAGTGTCCTTCAGGGGCATGGGAGGCAGGGCGATGTCCTCGGTCGTCTTCGCAGGCTCCAAAACAGGAGTGGGCTTGGGAATGGCTACATGGATAGCAACGGGCACTGGAACCTGCGGAGTTTCCACGGGTTTCTGGAGAGTCAGAGGCGGGAGCTGCTCCTCGTCCTTCTGCTTTTGGTCCTCCTTCTCTTCACTGCTTTCACTGCTGTCCTTGTCCTTCTTCTTTTTCTCAGCCTTTTCCCGCTTCTTCTGCTCCTTCTCCAGCTTGCGTTTCTCCTCCTCCAGCTTCTTTTTCTCCTCCTCCAGTTTCAACTGCTCCACGATGGCTGCGTCCCGAAAGTACGGGGATGACCGGAACTTCTTGTCGGCATAGGCCGTCTCCTGGGGATACTTCTCCTGGCACTCGGAGTAGGCGAAATCGGACCAGAGGCCGTGGGATCGGCACTTGGCCACGCCCAGCTTGCACTTGTTGTAGAAGACGGCCACCTCGGAGGAGGTCCTGCCGCAGATGGGTTCGTAGAGCTCGTTGCAGTCGTCGTCGCACAGATAGCCCTCGCTCAAGGACTGGGCGGCACTATTGATGGCCGCCGAATTGGAGGTCTGGCAGTCCTTTTGGCCAGACTCACAGCTGAACCAGGCGATGGGAATGGCCAAGTACGGCGGACTCAAGCGCTTCTGACCATCTCCATTCTCTCCGGGCGCCGCATAGGTACGCTTCACATAGTAACCATGCTCCTCGGTGGATACCTGAGTGCTTCCGGCCAGATCCGTAGAGCTGGACCACTTGGTCTTTGTCTTGGTCTTGTGGGGATCGGACTTTTCATTATGGTAATCGGAGCCCTTGTGCTTGCGACGTTTCGCATCCGCTGGTGTCGCCTCCAAAAGCAGCAAAGCTGCCACTGCTGAAAGGAAATAGATGGTTAACAGTTAATTATAGGATGTCCAGAACTGGTCAGGCTGGATATGGAAGACTCACCTACGATGCAAACAACTTGGTATGGCCTCATATTGATCTGGTCAGCTGCTCGTCTGCACAACAACTGATCGCATCTTCTGGCGAGCGGTGCTTAAGTACCAGTCTTAGCCACTCGGCGGTGAATTCTTCGAGCGTCTACCGGTTTTCTTCGCACTGCATCTCTCCCATCAGCCGGTTCTTCTTCTCGGCGTTTGTTTACACTTCGCACCGTCTCGAGATCGGAACGAAAGTACGCCAAGTTTTTGGTACCACTCATATCTTATTTGGTGAAATTTTATGCAAGCTCATGTGGCCGTACCCTTTCCAGCGATAGCCATCTAGAATGTCTCGGATCTGGAACTGGTTGTGTATTTAACACCTTCGGTGCCCTCCATTCGACGCCCAGCCTCCCGAGCTCGTCCGCTTCTCGAGCCGGTTCTTCGAAATTGGGTCAATCTGGAAAGGTTCGGTGATCTGGTTGTTATTTTACGAGGTTCTTCTGGCCGAGATCGCCGGCAGCTGCACTCGCTCGCAGGAAATCCACGTCCAATCAAGCGTTGTTATTCTGCCGATCTCTGTTGATCTTTGATCTGTGTGAGAGATCACTTCCATCGATGGGAGCTGTGAACTTAATTAGAATGATCTTTTCAAATGGAGGATCGAATTACTGACTTTACTTTCTTTGCATCTTTATTACATTCAAAGTCACTAATTGTAATCAAGCGGTAAACATAATAAAAGTGGTAAATATTTACCACATAGGGGCTTATATCTTCCTGGCTATTCAGCGAAAACCCACTCTACAAAGATTGTAAGTCACATAATATCTGTTGATCAACCCATAGACCCATCCATAATTGCATTTATTATTACCACCATTACTTTGATGACTCATTCAGCTCGTGATCACTTCTTGTTGATTTTGAAATGTAGTTCCATGGAAAAGTTTTCAAATTTCCCATTAGCATTAGAAAGTTAACCGATCTGTGATGCACTGCCGGCTGGTTGGGGGCGATCCAATCGAGGACCAGACGCCAAGCGTGTCTAATTACATAACTAGGGCTTTGACCGAATCCCAAGAAACGGGGGACTAATTGATCTTGTAAGCAGTTTTGCATATCAGCCGAAGAGTCGAGCTGGGTCGGCCAAAAGGCGCTAATTTCTCAGGCAAATAGATCCAAGCGAGACCGTCTATGGACCGAAATCAACAGATTTATGAAAGAAGTCGCCAGAAAGACTGTAAAAATTGAATAAATGATTTCGGTTTCTTTGGGGTCTCTTGTAAGCCACCGCGTAAACAAAAGAAGTTCGTCGAAAAGAAAGAAACCAAATGAGATGGGTCGAGGTGGGAGGAAAGCAACCCAAGAAAGAGAGCTTCGGTGCAGTAAAAGCGGCTGGACAACGCTCCGGTTAGTCCGCTCCAGAGATCAGGGGCTCAAATCTCGCCGAGAGCGGAGCGTTTTGGGATCGCCTTGTTTGCTCGCATTTACTTTCATTTTTGGAGGGGCTATAAAAAGCGAAAGCAGAGCGCTGGATTTGCTCATAAAGACCGCAAAACTGCAAAAGTCCACTACAAAGCCAGCTGGAAACTAAGGATTACCACAATGGTTCGACCCATCTACCTGGCCCTCGGTGAGCTGAGTTAATCTCTAGGTCTTCAGCTATTCTTACCTAAACTTTTTGATCTCAAAAACAGTTGCTCTATTCGTATTGACCTGCTCTGTAAGTGCAGCTCCGTTGGGGGAGTCGGAAATCCATGATAGTTCCGAACTCTCAGTCTCCAAACTCGAAACGGAGGTCCAAGACTCGAGTGCTGGTAGTAGTGAGGAGAAGGACGACGACGACGAGGAGGAGACTGCGGCTCAAAAGGTGGAGGAGGAAACCGACGAGGATAATGATGATGAAGAGGACGACGACGACGATGATTCCTCACTGATCCGTAGACGTCGCGGGGCAGAGACCACTGAGGAACCCTCGGAGGAGGAGACCGTTACCGAATCCCCCAACGAGAACCACAAGGTGGATACCACCACTGGGGCAGCTCCGACGCGCAAGCCTGTGCTCGTGCTCATCCGGGATGCCCTCAAGAAGGTCACCACCGATCTGCCCACCGCCCAGGTGGCCAACAATGCCCTGCAGTACTTCCAGCAGTTCGAGCACTTCATCCAACAGGCCATCGAGGAGGTGATCGGCGAAGACGACGACGACGAGGAGGAGACCCCGGCTACTGTAACTCCCGAAACGGAGACCACTGTTGAGGATATCAAGAAGCCCGAGGTGGAGAATGCTCCAGAAAAGGTTCCAGATGCCGAGGTCCCAGCTGAAGTCCCTGAAAAGGAAACTCAGGCCGTTGAACCCATCAAGATGGAGGAATCTACCTCTTCGACTTCAGCTCCCCTTAGCAATGCTGTCTAGTCTAGCTATGTATTAAGTTCCACAAATCACTTCTCAGATATTTATTGTCATTTATTTATTGTTAGCTATAAACTGTATGCCATGTTCTGAAACCTAAGAGTTTTATTGCATTGGGTGGTACACTAGATCCTTGCGATCCTTCCTCTCCTTCATCGCGTAGATATGACTCTTGAGCTGACTGCGATGGCGATTGGTGGTTCTTCTCTTGGGGGATTCAATTCGCTGCAGCAAACGATTGAAGTGCGAGTTGGGTGCCTTGGTGGAGGGATTTCTCCGGCTGGACCCAGATCCACTGGCCTTTCGCAGGGACAGCTCCTGGTCGCCAATGGTCAGGGTGAGGGGCAGCTTACCACCCGTGCTGATGTAAATGGGGATAGTTATGTAGATGGGTGAGCCGGCAGATTGAGGAGCCACCATGGGCAATTGGGGCTGTGACTGGACTTGGAGCTGTGACTCCTGCTGCGACTGAGAAAAAAAATTAAATTAATTATTAAATTTGACACTATATTCGTAATATTGTGTTAATTAGCAATTATGTGCAATATATTCATATACAAAAAGAGGAACTCGATCAAAATTATAATAAGTATGATATCCAAAAGAATAAATATTTAAAAATTATAATGGGAGTGGGTTATTTATAAACCCATAATCAAATAAAGAAAGGAAAGTGTGAAAGTTAAAGTGTGATATTAACAAATTGGGTTTTCTGGGCACTAAAAGTGGTTTAAGGTAGGATCTACTACAAGGATTGCTTACCTGCTCGACTTTTTCTGTCTGAGGCGACATCACCTTATAAAAATGAAAACAAATAGGTATATATAATTAATAATGTATTTATTATTGTTCAAGAAAACAAGAAAAAGTAAGATTTTAGAATAAGACAGTTAGCAATGCCTTAACATTGTACAAGAACTGATCCAAAATACAATTCAATTCACCTCCTCTTTTTCAAGATCCAGTGGCTGCTGCTTGAGGAAGTGCAGCGGATTGGCATCTTCACCCAGGTTGTTGTACTCATCCTGTGATAAGGCAGGAAGACGATCGTTGTGGAAGTTGTCATCCGCCGCATCCATTTCGTGAGCCTGAACTGAGGACTTGGCAGTTGGATTGCCTTCGGGATTGGGAGTCGGGGTGATGGTGCTAAAGGAGCTCGTTGAGGGCTCCGATGTGGTTGTCTCCAGCAAGGACTTCACGTTGATGGCCTGCCGCTGTCTTTCGCTATCTTTCGAGCCTGTGGCATTCTGACCAGAGCACATAATCAAGCAAAGCAGCAAAACTAAAAGGCCACAGAGTTAAAAATATAAGTTATATCTCTCTTTTTTTGTATAATACAGTGGAACTTAAAAACAACTGAAAGTTATAATCGTTAGAAGTAATCTAAAAAAAGTTTTCTTTTGCGATTTCCATGTGATATTTTATTTGATAAAATATTACAACCTAAAAACTACCGACTAACTTAAGATAATGCCCCATCCCAGCCTAACAGCCCGTCCCATCTTGCGTGCTCCTTCCGATTTCCACAGACTACAGGGTCGTCTTCTTGCCGTTGAGGATCATCTCGGTGAGGCCGAGTTGTCGGAACTGCTGAAGACGCTCCACTTGATGGCAGAGGCGTTTCTGGAACTGCACCTCCCGGCTGAGTTCCTTGAGTTCCTCCACACTGCTCATGGGACTGCAGCTGGCCATCCTCTTGGCGATCAGCTGGGAGGTTAACACTATCTTGGCCTTCGAGAGGCGGAGATAGGAGAAATCCGCGCTGGATCGCTTCAGTTCCTGGCGATATAGGAAGAGTTGGTAGGGGAAGTTCACGGTGGCGGCATTGCGACGGAGTTTCTTCAGGGCCCGCTTCTTTTGTTTCTTCAGTGGATCGTGGGTCTTCACCTTGTGTGGTTTATCGGAACGCTTTTTCTCTAATTTGCGACTGGACTTCTCCGATTTGCGGCTGGACTTGTACTGGTCAATCATAGTGTGTTGCATGTTCTACGTTTCTAAAGTGAATGATGCTTTGACCAGTGAGTGGAGGTCCTTTTAAACGACCTGATCGGCAGGTAGTTCCCGCGACCAGGTAGTTTCTGTAATTAGCGGGTGCCAGTCACGCGTTTGCATGTCCGTGTCATAAACCAAAATCCGTCAACAGACACTTCATTCGGTTTTCCTGAGCGATCCAGGTCGCCGGGAATTTCCCCCGGTTCGTTTATGGCTTTATGACTAGCCAGATATCCGCGTACCCGGCCTAATCCTCAATTATGGCAGCCAACTAAGCGCCGTACTAGCAGATCCTCGGGGTTTTGTGGCGGTTTTTCAGCCAAACCCAGCAGGGGATACCCATTTATCCTTCGCAGAAGTCTTGGATAGTTCTAGAAGCCCATTCGGAGGAAATCGGCGAGGAGGTGACCCTGTCCCCCTACAAATTTCTAGCTAACACTTGGTTTTCCTGGAGGCAAGAGCTGCCCCTAGGCCATTTCATTTTGCACAGTCACTTTATAGTTTTTTTTCTATCCCCAGTGATTTCTTGACACCTAACCCATTTCGTACACCACAACGCACCTCCGCAATTAAAGCTCCAAGATGTCTTCATGTTTCGTGCTTGAAAATAATACTGAAACCGCATTTGGCATGAGATCTCTATTTTATACCTGAGACGGCAAAGTTTTTGGCTCGAGAAATTTCACTTGAATGGGAACAATGCGAAGTTCTACCGGCAGAAATTTGCATAGTAATTTCTCAATAGTCTGGCTCCACTTTTCTCTTTCTCTTCGAACTATGCAAATTTAGCTTTGCCTGCTTTTGGCCCTACAAATTTAAGCGCCGATGTCGTCATTGATTGAGTCTCTTGTTAAAGATGGTCAGGGGCGTGGGGGGAAATCGAATAAATAATGATGATGCGCCACTTTTTCGGTTTATTTTGCATGCATTTTATGAATTTCGATTCGAGAGAGATTCTTCCGCCTCAGTGGTCGACAGAAGTTGTGAGGTCTCTACATATCTTCATATTGCCCCATCTTTTCTGCACAGAGAGAAATATTTAAACGGTATAAATTAAAGATTAAGAATTTTATATCACTCTTCAAGGCAATTTTATGTATTTACATAATCATCTTCGTTTTTGCATTAAAAACATTAAATTTTTTATCTAATGTACATTTAATTAATACCAATATACAAACAAAAGCATTTTTTTTAAAATAAAAAATATTAAATCTAAAAACTTTTTCAATAAATATTTTTTTTAATGTTTCAGCTTTATATTATTTTTTAATTTTCTTAATCAGAACTTTTGCGAATTTAGATAAATTTTGTACGAAGATTCTCTATAAGAAGATTCTCTCATAGTACGAAGAAAGAGAGAAGAAACTATATTCTTCGTACCACGAAATATTGTTGTATTGAAATAGTTCATCGTACTATGAAACATTTTTTAAGAATTTCTTCGTACTATAAAATATTATTAAAATATTTTTTCTTTAATTAAAATCAGTTTCCATAAATACGCTTTAAAAGACATTAACAAAGCTTATGAAATAACACTTTTGTTAATATTCAGCAACCAAATTAGGTCACTTTTCCTGTCAGTGTGGGGTCAGTCGGAATTAGCTCGGACTATTGGAAAGTCATCGATGGGTCGCTGCATCCATTTAAAGTTCAGTTTATTTATCTAGCAGCCAGACGGGGAGTCAGGGCATTTCCATTTGACTTGGCTCCGACTGCCTTGCATAACGTTTCCCTCAATGTCCTTCATCTTTTGCGGTTTGCGTTTGTCATTAGACAACGTCTAGACCAAAACCCAGTCAGCCAGTGCCAGGCATCGATCTGCGGCGATGGCCCCAAGAAGTTGGCTACACAATTTTGGCCATGGGGAAATGCTCGAAATTGGCAACGTTTTCCGAGGCAAACTGACTCAAATTAATTTTGTTCGGTTAAACAGAGCGGATACATAACGACATTGGCAAAACGTTTACATCTTACGATAATTCTATTTCTTATTTAAACATTGTTTGTTTCTGGTCACAAAAAGAGGCTCAAATATAGATGTAGGGACCTAAAAAACAGCTCCTAAAAGACCCCAATTACCACACTTCAATGCGACAATTGTTATTATCTTTCCACTTAGGATAATCGAATATTTTATTCCTTTTCCTAAATTGCATTCCCCTGATAGAGCATCACTTAATTCTGCTTAACTGTTTTTGGTTTTTATGGCTGAAGGCGCTTTACGATCCGCCCTTTATAGATTTCCAATTATAAATGCAGAAAAAGTAAAGCCAAAGGAGGGAAGACTTTTTCATTGCATCCAATCGAACGAACGGCGCAATAATTTTCCCATAGCCATTGTGTGTTTGCAATTTGTTAGCCATGAGGCCAATAAATTGGCCAAATATGCGCCATAAAGTGGATGGCAGAAGGAGCCATCAGCAGCCAGGAGATAATATCCAGCAGGGAGCAAAACGATGGAAAGGGATCCGCCAAAACCTATGCACTTTGTAATGAAATAAATGGACTTTCATGATGGACGGTCTACCAAATTTAATGATTTTTTTTCGCCGGTGGATGCATCTATTTTTTGTTCAGCATGCTGAAATATAATAAAATACACACGACTAAACTCCTCTCGCGGAGTTATATTGTTTCATTTTATGTATTGCTCTTGTTTCGGTCTGTAAAATGCATTTCACATTTTATTGTGCACTCAATCAAAAATCCATTTCCGTTTGTTTCGAACCCACACGTCTGTTCCAGTCTCTCTGGGCGGAGTGTGGAGATTCCGGATCCAATGGCAGGTGGTTCGCGGGTTCCCGGATTGGCAGCCAAAAGTTTGATAATTGAGTTGGAGCCACGCGTTGAAGTTGTGCCCATCTCCGCCTATATAGCCCGTTGATACACCTTCAAAAAATCGTTAAGAATAACCATATTTCCATCTTAATCTTTGTAATATTTTTAATTGTTTAATGTATGTAAAGGTTTTATTTTTAAAAATTTAAAGTGTACGAAAAAATAACAAGCATAAACAATTGGGTAAGGAGTGTGTAACTCTTAGTTCTGAAATTAAGACTGGGAAAAACTTTTCAATATTCGATATTTGAGGTTTCTC